TCAAGTGGTCCTCCCACCTCAACCTCCTGAGTAACTAGGACTGAAGGCTCACACCACAATGCCCAGTTAGTGTTTTTGTAGAAATGGGGTTTCGCTACGTTGCCCAGGCTGGTCTCGAGCTCCTAGGCTCAAGCAATCTGTCCATCTCAGCCTCCCAAAGTGCTGGGATTACAAGCACGAACCACCGTGCCTGGCCATATCTTTATATGTGATTTATAATCAGGTGGGAGAACATAGAATTCTTAAAATGACAGATTTGATGTTAACATAACTACTGCTAAGTGGACTTATATCTAACACCCACTTCTTATTCCGTTCCTGATGATAAAACACTTAAGAAAGACAAGACATTTGAAGTTAAGGCTGTCAGTTTATTTTGCCTCTGCCTCTATCCTACAATTTCTTCAGAGGAGTAGTTGGCTGTAAATGCAAGGGACTTGTTTTAAATTGAGTACAAGTAATAACTATTTTAGTAAAGTTGCCTGAAGACCTGCTTATCAGTGGAATAAAACAGGAAGGGGAGAATTCTGATAAGCTCTTTCAGCATGAGTATGTTGGAATGTCTCATCCCTCTGTCAGTTGCTTTGGCTTGAGCTTCTGATTCAGAGAGCAAGAAAGAGTGAGACTAAGGAGGGAATTCTCACAGAGAAGCTCAGAGCTGAGCCAATCCGCGGCTGTAGAGAAGGAGGAGCTTTCAAAGCTGCTGGTTCCAAGCTTTTTGCTGTTACTTAAATTTAAAGCTGGAACAGAGGGTCAAAAACCAGGAAAGAAAACCATATCAAGATAACAGGTCATGGTATTCTTTCTCATTCTTACAGAAAAGAATTCACAAGAGACTTGAGGAAGCTTTTTTATTTTTATTTTATTTTGTTTATTTATTTATTTATTTTGAGATGGAGTCTCACCCTATTGCCCTGGCTGGTCTCAAACTCCTGGGGTCAAGTGATCTACCTACCTCGGCCTCCCAAATTGCTGTGATTACAGGCAGAAGCCACCGTATCTGGCCAATTTTTTTGTTTTTGTTTTTGTTTTTTGAGACAGGGTCTTGTCCTGGAGTGCAGTGGCATGTTCACAGCTTACTGCAGCCTCGACCTCCCAGCCTCAGGCGATCCTCCCACCTCAGCCTCCTTAGTAGCTAGGACTGTAGACACCCACCACCACATCCGGCTAATTTTTGTACTGTTTGTAGAGACGAGGTTTTACCATGTTTCTCAGGCTGGTCCCAAACTCCTGGGTTCAAGCAATTTGAGGATGTTTTAAATTAGGCTCTAAAAATATATATTTGAAATTGAATAAGTGTTGACACTAGTCTGGGAATTAGGAAAGTATGATTTGTGTGTTAGCTCTGGTGTGAACCAGAGAGCCCTGTAACCTCCCTGGGACTGGGTTTGCTCCTCTGTATAGCAGGCCTCCCTGTGCTTCCCCTTGGGAGACAAGAATCACAGCCCCAGCATGTTTTCCTCTCCCCGTCGGCTGCCAGGAAACCCAGGAGCCAAATTCAAGGCTTTATTGAAGGAACTCTGCAGGACTAGGACTTGATATCTTGATGCTGTTTTCCTTCCTGGTTTTTGACTTTCTGTTCCAGCTTTCATTTTTGCTGATTATAGTATTTTACTATTTTTCATATTTAGTATGTAGTGCACATTTTTACACTACACTTCTAATCCTTTGTGTAATGAGCATGGTAGAAATAAATGGTGAAATGAGGAGGTCATACTTAGATGAGTTTCAGGGGCCCTTCCAGTCCCAATTTTGTAGGATTCTTAAGGGGAAAGGTAATTTTATGTGTCTAGAAGGTTCCAGGTTTGCACAGAAGGGAACTCTCCTATTGAGACTCCTGAAGACTTCAGCAAACCTCCAGGGAGGCCTGTCCAGGATGTTCTCCTATGTCTCTAAAGGAGTGAGTGCTTTGTGCTAGTTTAGGGAAAGATAGCTTTTCTGTTGGGATTTTAGACTTGCCCTACTTGAAATTGGTACAGAAATACCTGTCTGGGATGGGGCTCAATAATCTGCAGCTGTATTAAGAAATGCAAGTAGTTTTAATGTGGGTGATTTCAAGACACACTTGGAAAATGTGAGGGAAGTGTGTATGTGCATTTGCTGGGGAGGGGGAGGGGACTGGGGAAGGATAGCTAATCCGTTTATTCCTAATGCTCATCTCAACTTTGTATTGTGCCGAGTACCTTGATAAGGGTTGGGTTATTTTACGAGTGTTACTATATAAATTCATAGTATCCATCAGATCTTGTATATTTAGAGGCATACTCCTACTTTGAGTAAGTGGAAAGCTTTAGAGATATACACTAAATAAACATCAGTTACTAAGCAGTTATTCATTTTAAAAATTCCCTCCTCATTTCACCAAAGGATCCACCATGGCTTCCATTAAATGTCTATTTATGATTTGTTTTGACAAAGACTTTTCCAAGAACACCTCTGCTCTGTAAAGCAGAAGAGCTCTATAGATGTTCTAGAGCTGCTTGGTGTAGATTTGGTTCTGATTTGTGCCATGAAGTCCAATAACAAGCTGGAGGCACACATTCCAAAGCCAGTGATAAGAGTTTGAGTAAGCCGGGCGCGGTGGCTCACGCCTGTAATCCCAGCACTTTGGGAGGCCGAGGCGGGTGGATCACGAGGTCAAGAGATCGAGACCATCCTGGTCAACATGGTGAAACCCCGTCTCTACTAAAAATACAAAACATTAGCTGGGCATGGTGGCGCGTGCCTGTAATCCCAGCTACTCAGGAGGTTGAGGCAGGAGAATTGCCTGAACCCAGGAGGTGGAGGTTGCAGTGAGCCGAGATCGCGCCATTGCACTCCAGCCTGGGTAACAAGAGTGAAACTCCATCTCAGGAAAAAAAAAAAAAAAAAGAGTTTGAGTAATGATCATCTATTCCTGAACATAAAGTTTGGAGCCTTCTGGAATCCATAAAAATTGGATGTGTTGTTCCTTTCCCCTCTACCCAAATTTTATTTATACCTGGCTATAAATAGCTTCTGTTTTGAGTTTTCACTGGTCAGACTCTGCTGTTTTAGTGCCATCCTGCTATCTTCCTTGAACAAGGTGATGCCACCTAACATTTTTTTTTCAGACTTCCAGGACAATGGTCAGGGGGACTCTTCTATGCCACACTGGGCGGGATGAAGATGCAGGCTTTAGGGCAGCCCCTCCGAGAAGGGGTGGCAGGTTGAGGAGCCTGTTGATCCTTTCTATCAGGGATGGATTTGCTTTCTGTGGGTGTCACCTTCAGGGGCCTGTGTTTCCACTCATCACAGGAGCTCACATTTACTGAGTGGGGCCAGAGTGTTTATACACAGTGATGTTACACCTCACCATAACCTCCGTGGTGGGCACTAACATTACCACCATTTTGCAGATGAGAACATGGAGGCTTGCAGAAGAGGTAAGTTGCCCTGGCTTCCATGCTGAATCAGAGGTGAAGCTCAGCACACAGCACAGGACCAGGTCTGCTGGCTCCCGAGCTCACCTCTGTACCTACAAGGCTGGACCACCCCACAGCAGAGTCAACAAGCTGGCCTGGCATGTGAAGAAGCAAGCCTGAGTGTCTCCTGGCTGCCAGTGTCATCCCTGTCTGGGACCCCAATTCACAGCTTGATTCTGGTCCTCTTGCCCTCTGTCCCTCACCAGAACCCTGATATTTCCAGATGAAAACACCAGCATAGCTTATTTCCACAACTCACCTGGGCCCAGCGATGAAGATCTATAGCTACAGGGCAGTGTTGAGTTGATTATGAGTTATATAGGTCCAAATGACTAGCTTGCTTGATTTAACCAGGTAATTCATGCCATACTTTTCTCTTTGGAAAGACCTGGACCAACAATAACCTCTGCTAAACACTTTTGCTTTTTTAAATTTGCAGGTACTTTTCTGGGGCTGCCTTTCGCTCCCTGTCTGTTGAGAGTCCGTTTTCCTTGCAGTCAACCTATCTGGGTTGATTTGTCTCATTCGTGAATGAGAAGTTTTATTTTAATGCATTAAGTAATAGTGTTGAGTGGCCAACAAGTGTGAAGTTTGAAAAGCTCAAATGAAAAAAGAAAGTGTGGTAGAAACACAGGGTTGGAGGCTGGGTGCAGGGGCTCATACCTGTAATCCCAGGACTTTGGGAGGCCAAGACAGGAGGTCCCTTGAGCTCAGGTGTTTGAGACCCCTGGGCAACATGGCAAGACCCCATCTCTACAGAAAAATATAAAAATCATCCAGGTATGATGGCCTGCACTTGTAATCCCAGATACTTGGGAGGCTGAGGTGGGAGGATTGTTTGAGCCCGGGGGGTTGAGGCTGCAGTGAGCTGTGATTGATCCACTGCACTGCAGCCTGGGTAACAGAGCAAGGCTCTATCTCAAAAAAAAGAAAAAAGAAAAAAAAAGCAGCAGCAGAAGAACACAAGGTTGGAACTTGAGGGGGCCTATTAAATAGGATGCTCTTTCCTGTCTTAGTTTTGAATTGAGAAGATAAAATAATAAGGCATGGAAATTACAGCATCCGCTTTCTTATTAATAAAGCAGACCCTGGAGAACGGAAGGCTCCAAGTGGGGTTCCTGGTGCTGCCCTTCAACATCAGGCTGAGGCTCCCCTTGTCCTCAAGTAATGGGCACTGCTGGCCTGAGGTGGAGCCTCCTCTGTCCAGGGCTCAGTTCGTCCTTGGAAGGCTTAGGACATGGAGGAGCTGCTCCAGGCTAAGAGGGAGGGCCGGGGCTACCCTGCGGGGGTTGTTTTTCCAGTTTCTCCAATCAGATGAGCCACACTGTCACTCTAGTGTTGAAAGGAGGGAAGGGACAGAAGTGGCCAGGAGTGTGACCCTCAAAGAGGCAGAGGAAATCTCGGAGAAAGGGAGGAAGCATTCTCATAACCAGAGGGAGAAGGATAGAGGCCTCAGTTTTCCCTCTCTGAGAATTAGTTTGAGATTTGCATTTAGTGTCTATAAACATGTCAGCAGATATATGAACTTATTTGCTTTTGTTCTGTTTTCATTTTTAGATTCTTGAGTATCAGAACACCACCTTCTTTGGTGGAGCCTGTATATCCATGATTGATTACCTCCTCTGGCCCTGGTTTGAGCGGCTGGATGTGTATGGGATAGCGGAGTAAGACATTTGACCTTGCGGCGGTAAATTCCCAGAGTCACACTGAGTAACAATGGTTAAGATGGTCTGCCTGCCCCCTGTAGACATGTTTCAGAGTGTCTGTGAAGTGAATCAGGTTTTTAAACTGCAGTATGTGCTTCCTTATTAAAAACACGTATGCCTTTCCACTGTTAACTTCAGACCCACACTTTACCTGCATTTCTGCGGATAAGACCCCCTAGTCCAGGAGCTTCCCAAAGACTTCAGAGCCTGCTCCCCTCACCAGCACCCCCACACAGCCGGTGTGAGAGCAGGTGGAGAGTCACTGCCACGGTGCCCAACGCCTCCACCTGGTCCTGCTGGGTCCCCAGTGGATACCATATACCTTAGTCGTGTCTTATTGCCCAGAAGAATCTTCCCCCAGATAGAAATAACCTTATAAAAAAGATGTGTATAGTAATATATGCTTGGTGTTGGAACATACAAACACAAAGGCAACGTCACACTATGGAAGTGCAGGGACGTTAAAGCAGAAGAAATAGCTGTGTAGTGTCCTGGGCAGAACAGTGCTCTGTTACCTCAAAGCTCAGAGAAGTTAGATGTGTGCAGAACCAAGCCACCCTCATGGTGGGTGCTGGACACTTCTGGTGCTTGGAAATCTGGCCCTGCTGAAGCAGAACTGTGTCTGCACCTTTGTAACTGGAGACCACCCAGGCACTGTCTCCTGCACGTCCGACTTCAGCTCTCTTTGAAGGAGATCAGATATGACATGTCAGGATATTTTAAACTCAATTTCTCAAACATAAAATTTACAAAAGGCTGTATCCTCTGAAGACAGAGCATGGAACCACGGGCCTTCTAGTCCTGGATTTCCCACATCCCACTCGTATTATTTTCAGCTTGTCGCTTTATAAATCCCAGACCTAAATGTCCTGGTCGATCTTTGAAAGGGCCCTGTCAGCTCCATGACTTCAAGTTTCATCATTGTTTTATTCATTTAAAAAATGTTTCGGAAATTATTTGTCTCTATTTTTTTTTCTGTCTCCTAAAGTAAACTCTGAGAATGACCCAAGAATGTTTGTTTTAGAAGGTTCTCTTTTTGTTGGCAAACAGTGAAGCACATGTAAGTTTCTTAAGCTTTAAAAATATGTATATTAAAAAACAACAAAACCCCAAAAAACCCAATGAAGCACAGACACGTTATTTTCCCAGAGCCATCAGTCCAATGTATTTCACTGTATTATTAGAAGCAACAACAACTTCTAACACGTTCAGCTATTCAAAAAATAAGATTTTCCTCCAGGAAGTTGTCATTCTCATTTGATAATTAGATAACTCCCCAAAATAAACCCATTTTTCATATATCGCAAATCTAAAAAGCAACATGCATCCCCTTCCCTGATGCCTCCCCCAGCGCTGTGCTGATGCTTCTTTCCTGTCTTGCAGCTGCCTGAGCCACACGCCAGCCCTGCGGCTCTGGGTATCAGCCATGAAGCGGGACCCCACAGTCTGTGCCCTTCTCACGGATAAGTGCGTTTTCCATGGTTTCTTGAATCTCTATTTTCAGGACAACCCTGATGCCTTTGACTTTGGGCTGGACTGAGCCTCACAGTCCACCCCTTCACCGGCCAGAATTCCCTAGCTTGTTGGGAGTCTACATCACGGATTGTCTTGGGAATCGATCTGTCACATTCCTTTTAAGTTCCCAATAAAATGAAAACAGAAAATGTATTCTTTCAATAATAATGTATCTGACTCCTCTAGCCCGTAGCTGCTGCTGCTGCTGCTGCTTTTCTTTTTTTTTGAGACAAGGTCTTGCTTTGTTACCTAGGCTGAAGTGCAGTGGGACAGTCATGGCTCACTGCAGCCTTGAACTCCTGAGTTCAATTGATTCTCCCACCTCAGCCTCCTGAGAAGCTAAGATTACAGGCACGCGTCACCATGCTGAGTTAATTTTTTTTTTTTTTGGTTGTTGAGACAGGGTGTCACTATGTTGCTCAGGCTGGTCTCCAATTCCTGGCTGCAAGCCATCCACCGAACTTGGTCTCCCAAAGTATTGAGATTCCAGGCGTGAGCCATATGGCCTGCTTAGCCTGTAGCTTCTAACTATTCTCTAGAAAGAACCTGGTGCTAATGTCAGAGCACATTTTGGGAGCCTGTGTACCTCCTAACTCCTTGGCCTTCAGCCCAGTTTGATCTCTAGATTATTGGTGCAGAAGCTGATGCTGAGGTTCAGGGTCAACCTATGATTGATGCTTTTCTCTACAGATTGACACCCTTCAAAAACCTCCCTGGTAAAAGCTTAAGAAGAAGGAGAAGGAAGAAGAAAACACTCCAAACCCAAATACCTTCCATTTGGCAAATGAATGCTTCTGTCCACGTGGGTGAGAATGAGTATAATTCTCCAAACTTTGGCCATGGGCCTGGAGACACCAAAGTTCTTGTGACTGGAAATAATTCCAAAGCAGGAAATGAAACACCGATTTATCACCCAGGACTAACTACGTCAGAATTTCACTGGTGCTGTCAGGGCTCAGGATGTCTCACAAAATGTTCTATGGCCAGCATCCTGCCTTAAAAAAATACACACGCCCCAAACCCAGCCACAAGCAAAGGTCATTCCATTGGATTTGCGTCACACTCTCTTCCAATTCAACAAATGCTTCTGGTTACGTGTTGTGTACCAAGCCCAGGGGCACGTTGGGGCTAAAGTTGAAAAAGACACTGGCTCTGTCCCTGGGAGACCCCATCTCTCCACTTATCTTGGTTGAGGTTTTAAACCCAGTGCTTTGGAGCTGCTTATCTGGTGTGGGGATGCTTGTCTCCGATGTGACCCCTCTGTCATCTTGGCTGAAGACAGCACCCCACTGAAGACAGCAAAGAGCTGAGGATGGCTGGTGCCGACAGGTGCCTTGGGCTGGGAGCATCGGGGGACCAAGTTTGTCCAATGCCTTTTCATCTTAGTGTCTGAGGATCAGCCTGTGATCATTTCAGCTTTGCTCATGCTGGATCCTTTCCCCTCCTTCTAGCTGTGCTGAGACACCAGGCAGCAACAGGAGCGATGTTTTGCGTTGTCTGTGCCCCCTAAGGAGCTGTCTGCCGCCTCTGCCTCTGCAGAAGACAGCCCAAACCAGCCCTCTCTCCCCACATCTCAGCCTGGCCCTGCCATCTGCTGGCTCTGGGTATATTTTGACCCACGTAAATAGTTACCAGGTGTTACTCTGTGCCAGCTGGGCAGAAGCAAGCCAGCTTGGTGAGATGGCCAGACCTTCCAGAAGAGGCACCGCATGACGGCGGCAGTCTGCCGTACCATCTGCTCCGGATGTGGAGCCCTGTTGCCATGGCATCCGAGTTAATGCTGAGTGAGGTCTGTGAATCACTGTTTCCTTGGGATCTTTGCTCAAGAAGAGAGGAATCTTCTCCTGTGGCCTCTCATAGGACTTAGGGGATTGATCAGCCTTTTGCCGGTACAAATCCTGCGTGCTAGTGAGTGCTTGGTGTAAGACCAAAGTTACTACTGATGCAACAGGAAATGGCATGTCTGGCTCACTAAGATGAAGGTGTTCTCTTTTGGGGCTCCACACACTAATTTAGAAAGCTTGAAGAACCAGGAGTTATAGAATGGAGAACAGCACTCATGGGGGAATTTGCAGCCTGGTGGCCTATATAGCCCAGTTTGGGATTTGAGTGCCTCTTGGCCAGCCATGCTCCCTGCAGTTTACCAGGGTCTTGGTCACCTGCATGTAATTACACTTCCTCCATCTCACTTCTTTGTCAATCGTCTGACCCACAGAGAAAACTGAGTTTTGAAAGATTAATTCCAAAATTAATCTTTGAATAAAACTAGAAGGATGTGGCCAGGAGCAAAGAGGGAAGGAGGTAATTAACACTCCATGAAGAACTTTTAAAATATGCTTCTTAAATAAATAATACATATGGAAAGATAATATGTATGGGCTAAAAATGCAATAATAGAATAGAAAATATTCCATTTTCTTATGTCCCAGAGATAACCACTTTTAGTAACTGGCCTACCTCTTTTTTCTTTTTTTTTAAATAATAGAGATGGGATCTTGCTGTGTTGACCAGGCTGGTCTCAAACTCCTGGCTGCAAGTGATCCTCCCATCTCAGTTTCCCAAAGTGCTGGGATTATAGGTGTGAGCCACCATATCTGGCAGGTGTCTATCTTATAAAAAGCACTAAACTTAAGGATTTAAAGGTGAGGACATGTATTAGGCCATTCTCATGCTGCTATAAAGAAGTGCCTGAGACTGGGTAATTTATAAAGGAAAGAGGTTTAATTGACTTATATTTCTACATGGCTGGGGAGGCCTCAGGAAGCTTACAATCATGGTGGAAGGGGAAGCAAATACGTCCTTCTGCACAAGGTGGCAGGAGAGAGAAGTGCAGAGCCAAGGAGGAAAAAACCCTTATAAAACCATTAGATCTCATGAGAACTCATTCACTATCATGAGAACAGCATGGGGAAACTACCCCCACAATCTAATCACCTCTCTTGAGGTCCCTTCCCCAACATGCGGGGATTATAATTCAGGTTAAAATTCAAGATGAGATTTTGGGTGGCATACAGCCAAACCATATCAGAGCCATTTTCTATCTTTTGCAGATTGGAGAAAGGAAAAAATTAGTTTAAACCACAGCATTTGAAAGAACTCATTGTCATAGATGATGTTAACATCAGAATGGAGGTTGTGTGACATTCCCCTCCTTGGAGGTTCTGAGCTACCATCTAGCCTGGACTGGGTCCAGTTACAATTTAACATGGCTAGGGGGAGGAAGGAGCATGGTGGGGTGGGGCTCGTGTGGCTGGGACAGCTGGCTGTGGTCGTGGTCGTGGTGCTGGTGCTGGTCACTAAATGGTTCTTGAAATTTCTTTTAAATCTAAAATTCTCTGGTATGGTGACCCCACCAAATTTTGTGTTGAAATGTAATCCCCAATGCTTGTGGGAGGTGATTGGATTAGGAGGGTAGATTTCTCATGAATGGTCTAGCATCATTCTCTTGGTGCTGTTCTTGTGATAGTGAGTGAGTTCTCATGAGATCTGGTTGTTTAAAAGTGTGCAGCATCTCCCTGACCCCTCTTGCTCCAGCTCCCACCATGGGAGATGCCTCGCTCTCCTTTTGCCTTTCGCCATGACTGGAAGCTTCCTGAGGGCTCTCAGGTTTACAAAAGCTGCATGTTCTCACTTATAAGTGGGAGAAGCTACTATACTTCTCATACAGCCTATAGAACCATCAGCCAATCCAACCTCTTTTTAAAAAAACTTTTATTTTAAATTCAGGGGTACACGTGCAGGATGTGTAGATTCATTACATACATAAACGTGTGTCACGGGGGTGTGTTGTATGGATTATTTCATCACCCAGGTATTAAGCCTAGTATCCAGTATTTATTTTTCCTGATCCTCTCCCTCCTCCCATCCTGTACCTGTACCGTCCAATAGGCCTCAGGGTGTGTTGTTCTCCTCTGCATGTCCATGTGTTATCATTTGGCTCCCACTTGTAAGTGAGAACATGCAGCTTTTGTAAACCTCTTTTCTTTGTCAAATACCTAGTCTCGGGTGTTTCTTTTTAGCAGCATGTGAACAGTCTAATACAGAAAATTGGTTCTGCAGAGTGGGGCATTGCTACAGAGATGCCTGAAAATGTGGAAGTGACTTTGGAACTGGGTAATGGGCAGAGGTTGGAAGAGTGTGGAGGGCTCCAAAGAAGACAGGAAGATGGGGGATCATTTAGAACTTCCTAGAGACTGGTTGAATAGTTATGACCAAAATGCCAGTAGTGATATGGACAGTGAAGGCCAGGCTGGAAATGAGGAAGTTACTGGGAACTGGAGCAAAGATCGCATTTGTTATGCTTTAGCAAAGAATTTGGCTGCATTGTGCCCCTGCCATAGGGATCTGTGGAACTTTGAACTTGAGAGTGATGATTTAGGGTATCTGTTGGAAGAAATTTCTTTTTTTTTTTTTTTGAGACAGAGTCTTGCTCTGTCGCCAGGCTGGAGTGCAGTGGCGCAATCTCAGCTCACTGCAACCTCCGCCTCCAGGGTTCCAGTGATTCTTCCTCCTCAGCCTCCCAAGTAGCTGGGACCACAGGCATATTCCACCACGCCTGGCCAATTTTTGTATTTTTAGTAGAGACGGGGTTTCATCGTGTTGGCCAGGATGGTCTCAATCTCTTGACCTCATGATCCACCTGCCTCGGCCTCCCAAAGTGCTGGGATTACAGGTGTGAGCCACCACGTCCAGTCTTATATTTACAGGGGAAACAGAGCAAAGAACTTTGGAGAATTTGCAGTCGGCCATGTGGTAAAAAAGAAAAGCCCATTTTCAGGGGAGGAATTCAAGCAGGCTGCAGAAATTTGCATAAGTAGAAAGGAGCCAAGTGCTAATAACCAAGAAAATGGGGAAAAGGCCTTGAAGGCATTTCAGAAACCTTTGTGGCAGCCCCTCCATCACAGACTCAGAGGCCTAGGAAAACAGAATGACTTTGAGTATTAAAGGAGATTTAGGGCCGGGCGCGGTGGCTCAAGCCTGTAATCCCAGCACTGTGGGAGGCCGAGGCGGGTGGATCACGAGGTCAAGAGATCGAGACCATCCTGGTCAACAAGGTGAAACCTTGTCTCTACTAAAAATACAAAAATTAGCTGGGCATGGTGGCGCGTGCCTGTAATCCCAGAGACTCAGGAGGCTGGGGCAGGAGAATTGCCTGAACCCGGGAGGCGGAGATTGCGGTGAGCCGAGATCACGCCATTGCACTCCGGCCTGGGTAACAAGAGCGAAACTCCGTCTCAAAAAAAAAAAAAGTAGATTTAGGCTGGCGCAGTGGGTCACACCTGTAATCCCAGCACTTTGGGAGGGCAAGATGGGTGGATCATGAGGTCAGGAGTTCGAGACCAGCCTGGCCAATATGGTGAAACCAAGTCTCTACTAAAAAATACAAAAATTAGCCGGGTGTGGTGGTATGCGCCTGTAGTCCCAGCTACTCAGGAGGCTGAGGCAGGAGAATTGTTTGAACCTAGGGGGCAGAGGTTGCAGTGAGCCAAGATTGTGCCACTGCACTCCAGCCTGGGTGACAGTGAGATTCCGTCTCAAAATAAGTAAATAAGTAAATAAATAAATAAAGTAGATTTAATCTAAATCATAAGGTACAAGCTACAGGATTCCCTTCAGTGTTGCAGAGACTGCCTGCATGTGGCTTCCACATTGTTTCTTGGAGCTTTGATGGTGGTGGCAGGAAGGGCAGGTGTTATGTTTCTTGATTTCTCACCTTCAAGTCTCCTTACCCATATTTCCTTTGTGGGAGTCATTGGCCTTGATGGAGGGAGCACTGGGTTACTGTGAGTTAGGAACCAAACTTGACTCTCCTGTGGTTTATATCCGCCTAGCTTAGTTTGTTATATACAGCCTTCACAAATAACCATATATCCAGCCCAAGGCAGTTCCCACTGAGTAGTCTCCAGTACTCTCCAGTTCCCAGTCATCCATCCCCCGCACCCCCACCAAACACACACACACTAAACACTGCCCACCTGGGAGACCCATTTTCCTTTTATCTTCATCCGTGAGTGACTGGAAGGCTGAACATTTGATCTTTTCAAACATTTTGCTCTCATCTGGCCTGTTAGAGCTCTTGAGCCTTTGAAAATGCCATTTCCTCTACATACTATTCTTCCTCAGAGCAGCCTTCCGTTTTTCCCAACCACCCTTTTCTCACAAAGTTCCGATCAAAATTCTTGTTTGTGTAAAGAGAAGTGGTATGCCATAGGGGTTACAAACAGGGCTTCAAGGTTAGCCCTGGGTTCAAATCCTGGTTTTGCAACTTAAGTTTCTTAAGTTGCTTCACCTCTAATTGCCTCAGTTTCTTATCTGTAAAATGGGCTGTAGAATGAGGGGCTCATTTATGCACGGGCTTAGTACCAGTTGGGTGCAAGTCAGTGCATGGCAGGCAACCCTATTAGGATGAGGCTTCTGTTGATGATCAGACTTGAACCCTGTGCTCATCCCCCCATCACTTTGTGGAACTAGATGTCCTACATTGCACATGGCTTGATTCATGGTTTGGAGTTGTTTTCTGGTTGTTTCCTGTGTGTAGGTGTAATCTCAACCTGTGATCCCTTGAAAGCTGCGATTGTATCCCTCCCCCCTCCTCCCTCACACCCAAGGCCAAGTTTAATGCAGTGCATTCTGAAATCTTGCAATGTTGTTGATGATGCAAAATAAATATTCTTTCCCATGTTTCTGAAGCATACTCAGAATCTCACTACTCTACTCTCTGTTAAAGAAAAAAATTATTCACTGACACTTGTCTAAAGCATGTAAAGGAAGACTTATTCATAACCACTGTGTTAGGTTTAGGGACTGAAGCAATGAGACTTTTGCAGTGGGGGAGGGAGATTGTGCTCAACTCTGACTACAGGATGGACCAGTGGGTATTTATAGCCAAGGAGTAGAGCGGAGATCAGTGGACTGAAAATCACTCAGAGGAAATGTTAGGGATCCTCTAACTGACCTAACAGGATTCTTGCTGAAGACTGGCCAGGATGATGAGACATCACCCGTGGGATGGCGGAGGACAAGGAACTTGATTAGATAGCAAGAGTGATCTGACGTTGACGTGGAGGAGTTCTTGCCAAACTAACTTAGCAGGGTTCTTTGCTAAAACAATTTTACAAGGACATACACAGATGAACCTAGGAGGAGGTTCGGGAGCCTGACTAAAGTTTGGTCAAGCAGAGAATCTTTGTCTCCTCTTGGAGCAGGTTATCTCTTTCCGAGGGTTAAAATGTGAGGGATTTGCAATGCCTGCAGGCCTGCCCGGTTACCAAGCAGCTTGGATGCTGAAAGGACACTAAAACACTCTGGTACCTTGCTGCACATGGAC